TCGCAAAGTGCAAAAAAATATTGACGACTTTTCACAACTTCTTCTATTTCTTTGCTACTTCTGTTCCTTTTACTCAAATCTTCTAAGAGACTGAGTGTTTCTTGTAGTCCTCTTCTTCTTTTCTTAGATCTCCAAGATTCGTTTCTTAGTAGCTTTTTGTGTCTTTCATAGTTTTTATTAATTTTATATTTCAGAAATTTGTGTTTTGATGATCAGCGGAAAGATTTTATGAATTATTTATAAATAAAAAAATTATATAATTATTAAATATATACTTTATATAATGTTTTTTTTTAGATGTATGAACAGGTTTTTTGAGTTCTGCTCCACAAGTACAATTTGATTGACAAATTTTATTTATATATTCTTATGTCCAGAAAAGTTTATGACAGTTTGTATATACAAAAAATTTTGTAAAATTTTGATCTAGTCTAAAAAGCTTTGAAACAAGATAGTTAGATTTAAAAAAAGTTGCAAAGTAATCAAAATCGATATAATTTAATATGGAATATAAAAAATTAATAAGAATTCCTATTGATGTTTTGCAAGAATGATTATGTGCTTAAAAAGTAAAATCTATAAAACAATCTATTGAATAATTATTAAACAGTAAGTAATAAACATAATGTATCATTTGGATCTGATTCAATTTGAATAGGAAAATTTGTAGCTAAAAAATTAGTTTCGTATTTAATGTTTTCATTATCATACTCAATACTAATACTGTTCTTTGTTTTATCCTCAGAAATATTACTGTTATCTGTTTTTCTTTATAATTATTTTTATAATTATCTTTATAATTATTTTTATAATTATCTAGATTAGATTATATTTCATGCTTACTATCTTCATCTGATTAAATAATTGTATTATTAGATATACCAAATTAAATAAAATCTATATTATTCACAAATTTATTTTTTTTTATGATTTGGTCTTTTTATATAATTATTAAAGTTCAAAGAATCAAAATGTTGATTTTGTTCTGTATATTCAAATACTGAAGTTGAATTAGGTTGAAGTATCTCCATATTTTTGGATGTGAATGAAAAATCTGATAATACTATGGGTGGGTCTGGTTAAAAAGCTTCTAAAGGAAGTTCACTACTTTCATTTGTAATATTTTCTGAAATTATTGACATAGATGGCATAGAACTATCTGACATATATAAATCGAAATGATTATTCCAAGTTCTCAATCGATTTTTTTTCCATTGCACTCTGGACATAAACAAATATATACTATTAAATAGTATTTAAGAGAGATGAGATTTGTATTGGAGTTAGAATGTAAAAAAAATTTATTTGAATTAAATTACTAAGCTGAAGTTTGTTTGACGTTCCTGATGATTAAGTTTGTCATAATTAAACTTTACATTATACTTTGTAATAAATTGTCAATTTACATAATTATGACTAGTAAATCTATATTGAGGCATTTATTATTTGTAGAAAAATATATTTTTTTAGAATTTTTGCTGAATTTTTATTATATTTATTTGCTTATTTATTTATTTTATTATATTTTTTTTTTGCTTTATTTATTAATTTATAATAATTCTTTGGCCCTATTTTCACTATTGAAAGATAAGTATATCATATTTTGTTTACTAATTTATATTATTGTTAAATTATACTGATAGTTTCACTTCATTTTTTTTAGATTTTTAATTTTTTATTATCTGATTTATTCCATCATGTCACTTTAAAACCCTTATTATCATGCTTTTGATCCATGCATGATTTGATTGTGCTTTGCAAATTCATTCGATCATAGGACAGATTCAAACAGCTTCAAGAGAGGATAGTCATTCGATCATTGGACTGATTCAAACAGGTTTAAGAGAGGATGATCATTCAATCATGAGGCAGATTTAATTAGCTTTTAATTAGTTTCTAAGAGAATAATTGTTCGATCATCAGTTATTTTTGCCAATATGTACTGTATATACATTATTTTATAAAATAAAAAAAATTATTACCATATAAATCCGAAATAACGCCCAGGGGTGTAATTTCAATTTTTGGCCTAAATTAAGCTTAATTCTGGCTAAAATCTAAAATAAAGCCCCTGGTCATTATTTCGGATTTATACGGTATATTATTTTCTTTACTAACTTTTGCTTATTTTAATTAATAAAATAATAATATAATTAATTATATTACTTATATTAATTATATAATTAATTATATTAATTATATTAATCATACTTATACACAATCCTCAACATTTATCTGGCAAAGTAATAGAGTCCAAAGTTGTATTGATTACATATGGGCTAATCATACAATTCTTTGATATTTAACTTCTTTCTATACTGATAATTCAGATACTAGTACTACAAGTGACTATAAAATTTTAATTTCTTCTTGGTCCTTCCCATATGCTTTTATAGACAAAAAACGAACTACAACCAAAATCCGCAAAAGAGTATTCTTTTACAAGAACATGGATCAGGAATCATGGCAAAATTTTACAGATCAGGTTGCTTCTAATCTCAGAAATAACAATATACCACTGGACACCAACACATCCGAATCACTTGAAACAACTTGGCATAAAATTCAAACAAATACCATTAATGCTGCATTACAACATATTCCAAATAAAAAATATACAGTATGCAATTTTCAACATATATTCTCGCATA